TGGCTTTGTTAAAATATTGGACTTTATAGAGGGATCATAACCAAGCTCCCCCCACCACTTTTTACCCAGCATAAGATAAGTATAAAAATAATGTAAGGCAGAATGTCATGACAATTTTTGAAGGACAAACCATTTTCACAAGGAATGAGGCCTTGACAAAGCATAAAAAAGCCTGGATTCCTTTTGTTAGGTAGGGTATAGATAATGCCACATTCAACCACTATGTTCTTGGATTACTCAATTCTCTTCTATGAGTAGGTCTCAATTCCATCATATGGGGGGGGGGGGGGAGAATCAGGAAATCCCATTTAGGGTGACCCATGTTTCTATTTAACTTCAGTGGTATCCTTTATAAAACTTGGATATCGGTATATTAACATTTAAAATATGTTTTACCAGTGTTACATAGCCGTAGAATATTATAAACTTCATACTGGAGATATGGAACTGCTGCTGGCTGTGACCAGTAGCTGAACTGACATCATATGGCGAGCTTCCTGCAAAGGTGAGATCTGAACCAACACCTTCTTATTTGTTGTTCAGAATCCATACCTTACTGCACTACTATCTTGTATACCCTTACTTTATACTAGCTCTCATATCTTTCAAATCCAAATAATGTAAACTTTAAAAAAAAATAAAAGATTCATGTATCTGAGTTTCGATCTAATGCTATTTTCCAAGGACATCCTTATTCCAAGAGAGGAAAGATGAATGGAGAGAAAACCCTCCATTCATCTCACCTGAGATCATGTCAGAGCAGCTCAGTCAGAAATACTTATGGCCCTCCACATCTCTGGGTGCTTCCAAAGTTGCTGCCAAAGACCATTTTTTAATGTGACAGAAAAGGGAAATTATTGACTATATGGGGAATAATCATATTGACGCCTATGAACTTTGGTGTTGGAGAAGACTCCTGAGAATACCAGGGACAGCCAAGAAAGCAAACTAATGGATCAGCAAACAAATCAACCTGAGTTCTCACTCCAGGCACAAACGGCCAGGCTCAAATTATCCTACTTCAGACACATTATGCAAAGACCAAGCTCTCTGGAGAAGGCTCTAATGCTGGGAAAGGTGGAAGGAAAGAGAAGAAGAGGAGACCAGCAGCAAGGTGGATGGACTCAGTGACGGTGGCAATGAGTGCACCATTGGGAGACTTGAAAGAACAGGTTAGGGACAGATCGCTGTGGAGAAAATCTACCTACGGGGTCTCTAGGAGTCGAAAACAACTTGATGACCCACAGTCAATCAATCAAATGTAATTAGGTTTAATTCACTTAATGTCCATATCTCCCACCCTCTCTGCTCGCCCTATGCACCTACAGGGAGGGCAGGCTTTGACTCCCTTCCATTAAACTGTGTCATCTTGTTGGACCCCAGAACTGTGCCTTTCCTTTGACAGCCTCTCAGCCAACCACCTTTTTGACTGGAAGCAATGAAATTTGTAGTCAAACATATCTGGAGAATACTAGAGTGGAGACAATTGCTTTAAAGTCCTTGCTGTTGCATCCGTGTTCCAAATAATATTCTACCATCTGTGGTGACTTCTAATTCGTAACACAGTCAAAATTCTATCAGGCTTTACAGTAATGCATAAGCTAGAAACACAATCTATTTTTTCCAGATTTTCTCTTTTTTCCCCTCTTTAAATATTACAGTGTTCCAGAAGAGTTTTTAATGCTCCGTGTTGCTGTGATTCAGATCCTGTATAAATGAAGTGGTTTGGCTTTGTGGCGCAGATGGAGGCTATACACAGTGCTGGAAAGTTTCTGTGCAGGTGTGAAACCTGGAGCTCTCGCTGTGCCTTGGAAACTGCACAGAAATATACTGCTGGCTTGGCAGCCTCCTCTGGAGGAATCCTGAGAGAAGCACGGGTCACATCTGATCTGTCTATCCTGTAGTTTTCCTTTTCCAGCGATGGAGTGTTTCCTTCTATGGAGAAGCCGATGAGCTGTAGCTCTTTCTGACCACTGTTGTGCTCCTGCCGAAACCAATAGATAGTGAAGTAGGTACGATCATCGTGCTCACAAGTGATGTCTGCCTGGGCCCCGGCTTGGATGGTTTTGAAGCGTTCCTTCTGGGTCACAGTGACCCCGTGGCAAAGACCTGTGAAGACTGGAGAGAGGACAAGGTCCATCCTGGGGGAGTTGCTTAACACTGTACACTCTGTCACACTTCAGATCCAAAAGTGCTGTTTGGTTAAACGTTTCTTTCTCTTTGGGAGTAAGACTTACTCTCCTTGTTGCACTAATGTTTGGTATTAAATCCTGCTTACGTACCACCAGAGAAAGGCTTAGAAAATTCACAGTCCGGAAGGGGGTTGTGGGAAAGCCACCAGACCAGGCTACTAGCTTTACGGCTTTTAAATGGCACTTTGTTTTCCCTTTGCTAAATTAAATGGATCCCACCAAGAACAGGAATAGGATGGACCAAGCTTTCTATGGTTTTCCCGGCTTCTTTCTCTCAGTCACGTTATTTTTAACGCGCATGTTGTAATACGAGGGACTGGAATACAAAAGACACCAGTCTGATTCCTTTCCCAGCCACATTAGGTGAATTAAGGCCAGGCACCGTTTCTCAACCCAGCCAATCTCACGGGCTTGTTCTACAGATCAGTTCGGAGAGGTTCTGAAGTGTGTCAC